CTCACTCACTCACTCACTCACTCACTCACTCACTCACTCACTCACTCTCGAGTGGAGCCTGGTAGTACACAGTGGCCTTCCTCTGCCTGAGGTAGTATCGCTTTGGATTGTCTTCCTCTCCGTCTTCATCTTCATCATCTTCTTCATCTTCATCATCTTCTTCATCTTCACCATCGTCATCCTCCTGCTCCTCTCCCTCTTCAGATGATTCTACAATAACAATATTCACAGGGCCATGAGATGTCTCAGCAGGGAAGGGCGACTGCTACCAAACCCACAAACTGAGTCCACGCCCAGGACCAACAAAGTCACAGAACCAAGTCCTGAAAATGGTCCTCTGACCTCCACACACACTCACCACCCCACCCAAAACCAACACATCCAGTACACTCACCAAATGGTAACGAATTTTAACAAAGGGAGCAGGGAGAGAAAGGGATCTTTTAAAACTTTACCTATACTTTTCCAATATTCATAAAATTTGCAACATTAACAATTTTTCACAATTGAAGTAGAAATTATAGAATTAAAGCTTACAAAGCCCGGCAGTGGTGGTGCAGGCCTTTAACCCAACACCAGAGGGGCAGAGGCAGAGAGAGGCAAGCGGGTCTCTCTGAGTTCAAGGCCAGCCTGGTCTTCAGAGTGAGTTCCAGGCTAGCCAAGCAGGGCTACACAAAGGAAACCCTGTCTTGAAAAGCCAAAAGAAAAAAAGAATAAATTAATAATAACTTTAATCATCTTAACTAAAATACAGATTTATGATAAACTATCTGTAGTTTTATTACACAAGCAAACCAATTATCACCTTAAACTGTTGATTTCAGTTACTTTCTCCAACAAAACATAATGTCCTGTTTTGAGCTCTCCCTTGTCTACACTTCTTTTAAATTATAACCAGTGCATATACTACAATAAATGTCACATAGCCCCAATAAGAAAGGTATTTCTTCCTAAAGTTAAGAATGACTAAATCTGAAGACAGCAAACAGAAGATTAAGAAACAAAAGTAAACTAACCCACGCTGCCGTCTGGGTTGTCAGTTGTCTCTTCATCGGCTGGCTGCACGGCCTTTTGTTGCCCTCTCGTGTACATATTAAGGTTGCTCTACAAATGTTTAAATAAAGTCTATTAACACTTGGTGTATGTTCACACAGAAATTAAAACCCGATAATCAGTCTTAAAATGAAAGCACAACTATCAGACTGTAACTCTAGCAGTGATTTGTGACTAGTCTCACAAAGGCTGGACAGAATGATTAATCACTAGCCATCAATGGATCATGTACTAAACGGGTGATTACGTCACCACCCAATGGGAGAACATATTCACCTCTCCCGCCTCGTTAAATACTCCCAAGTCTTCAAGCTTTTTCATTCGCTGTCTGCGCATCTTTTTCATGTCATCCATCTTCTGAAGCACAGCTTCTGCAGTGCTTTAAAAAGATTAATAAAAATATTTCAGCAAGAAGCACTGACTTACTTGGCAAATATTCAGACACTTCTTTCCATTAATTTAAACAAATACATAGAATAAAGGTTACCAATAGCTATTCTCCTGTATGCTTCACATAAATCAAATAGATTACAATGTTCAGGATAGGGTTGGATATAGCTCAATGGTAGTAAACTTCCCTGGCATACGTAAAATAGATACTCAATCCCTAAAATCTAGAGAGGGAAAGGGGACGAGAGGGCCATGGTGGCAGCAGACATCTTTGGTTCTAGCACTTAGGCAGAGGCAGAGGCAGGGAGATCTGAGTTCAAGGCCAGTCAGCTTCATAGTGTGTGTGTGTGTGTGTGTGTGTGTGTGTGTGTGTG